TGCTTGCTTGCCCGCCGGGTGGGGCAGGTGTCAGCTTTTTCCCTTTCTTACCCAAGTTCTGATCACACCAGTGGCACACGCTCCTCCCAGTACTAGGCCCCCCGCCGCCGCCCCCCCCCCCCTGGGACCTCCAGGTGCGGGTCCTTCCAGTCATTTTCCTGCAGGTGCGCAAGCGTGCGCACCAGCCCTTCCACGCCTCCCGCATCTCCTGGTTATGTCTTTTCACCTACTTCCAGCTGGGGTTCTGGTTTTCTCTTAGTGACTTATAGGAGCACCCTGTAGGTTGAGCACGTCACTTTATTGTTGGACGTTACGAATGTTTGATCCCAACATGCTGATTGTCTTTTGGTTCTCTTTGTGGTTTCTTCTTCTGTTATGGAAAATCCCAAACACACGAAACTAAAGAGACTCATGTGATGGGCTCCATGCACCCTGCACCAGCCTCCACTGTGTTGAAGTCACAGTCCAGAGGTGACGCTGGCGCCCGTCATTCTATCAAAACGCTCACTGCATGGGTTGCTGCAAATGCGCTCGTTCAAAAACATGACCGTCTTATGTGGCACTTCCTTTTGGATGTGGAGGAATGTTTTGTGCTCAGAGTCATGCTAGCACCTTTTTCCTTGGTGGTTCCTTCCACTGTTAAAGGCTGAGAACAGCCGTTCCCAGCCCAGGCACTGTAAGCTGGCCACTGCCTGTGAGTGACTGTGGCCTGGCACAGGTACCCGTGGACGCCACCCTGTGTGAGCCCCAGGACCCTATGCCGGCCCTATCCCTGGCCTCGGCATGGTGTCCAGCCCTGTGGGCTTGGCCAGAAGCCGTCCCTGAGGCTTTGGGCAGCATCTGAACACAGCAGGGCGACAGGGCGAAGGCCTGGCCCTCCAGGGTAGGGAGCAAGCTCTGTGTGCTGGCAGCTCCCACACTGTCCCCGCAGGCCAAGAGTGGGCTGTGACACCATGGGCCTGGATTCAACTCCTGCGGGACCACTTCCTGGCATGCTTGCCCTTCTGAATGGGTGGAGTGTGGGGTGGGCAGCAGGAGGAGATTTTATGGGCACCAGTTGCCCTGTCCCTTCGGGGGCAGGGGCAGCCTGGCCGTGCTCTGCTGGGTGGAGCAGGGCCCCTCCCCCGCAGGCCTGACCCTTAGGAAATTCCTCTAATTCCTGAACCCAGATTGGACTCAGGCCCCATAATTTGATTTTCCAGAGCAGGGCTCTGGCTGGACTCCTCGTGAGGAGGAATGTCTGGGTCAGCAAGATGACGTCAAATGTCAGTTTGATTTCGGGGGAAACATTCAGCTTCCACCGCAGGCTCCTCCAGTTGTGCCTTCACTTTCCCAACAGAACAAGTGTTGATCACAGTTGGCCCCCAGGGCCAGGGTGCCAGGGCTTCCTCCTCCAAGTGCCCACCCAGCCCCACAGCCCACTCTGTTCCCCCTCATCCACTCCTGCATCCGCCCAGCTCTGGCCTTCTGCCCACCACCCCCTGCTATCCCCACCCACCCTCAGCCACCTGTCTGTCTACCCTCCAGCCGCCCCCGTCCTCTCACCCTCCAGTAACCCCGATCCTCCAGCCTCCAGCTGCCCCCATCCTCTCATAACCCCTGGCTCACCCTTCTGTCCACACTCATGCTTCACTCACCTCTGACCCTTTCTGTGCAGCCTCCATTCTCCTCCCTTCATCCTTCCATCCTCTCGCCTGTTAACCACAGACCACCATCCCCTCACCATCTCCCACCTACCCTTCCATCCATCTACCATCTGCCCATCCATCTCCCATCCCCCATCTACCTTCCATCCAGCCACCCGTCTGTCTATCCATCCCCCATCCCCCTACCTACCTTTCCATCCATCTACCATCTGTTGTCCATCCACCTACCCATCCGTCTCTCCATCTCCACCCCTATGGTGGCTTACTCTCCCCCTGGAGGCCTCTGTGCCTCTTGCTTCTCTGCCCTCACCCCCATTGCCAGCGGGGTGTGGAAACCCTGGGAGAGGCTCTGGGCTGACACCGCCTGCAGTGGGTGAGTGGCCACTGTCCACTGTTGCTGGGTCTGGGTTATCATTTTGTTTTGCAGTTTATTTTTCCAGGGTTTAATCCTAGGCTCAACCTTCCTAACCCCTCTCCAGGCTGCTGCTATTTTTTGGCCTTCACATGAGGTGTCCCATGGACCTCGCGTCTGATCACTCTTGAGGTGTGCAGTGTCGTGTCTGTCTTATTGCTGAGTCAGCTCCTGGGGCAGGCGTTTTGTAAGCAGCAGCCTCCTTGAGTCAGTGTGATACTGGTTGCCAACTCTGAGTAGGGTCGTGGGGGGTCCCCCTGGCAGACAGGTGAGTCCAGAGAGGAGAGCCAGGGCCCGCCTAGGCCTCACAGCGGGGCACTTTTCTGTGTGCCCCAAGGCTATGCTAGGCCTTGGCAGAAGCATGTTCTGTGCCCCCCACCCCCCAGGATAGACAGCTGGGAAAAATGTCTTTGAAGTCCCATGGTGGATCTTAAAAATTCATGAACATTTTGCCTTCCATGACACCACGTATTTGTGTTAGTATTGAGTTACCATCTGCAAAGCTGTTGTGCGGTTCTGGCCTGGGTTACCTGCATCAACACATGCTCCTGTGCCGGGGCTGCTGTGTCGGGAAGTGGGCTAGGGCTTTCCCTGCTCTGCCCAGATGTCACCTTGGGGTGCTCTCCAGGCCATTGAGGCTGAGCTGCAGTCTGCAGGGCTCAGGGCATCTTCCTGCTGGGGCAGACGCGGCTCTTCCGTGAGTGGCTGCTGGGATCTGCCCTCGAGCTAGCCAGTGTTTCAGGATGTCACCTGGGAGACACACAATTATTTTGTCCCAGCTGAGCCGAATCAGGCAGTGGAAAGGTCAGTGTAGGGTGGGCCTGGCCACCTTCTCAATGTGGCCTCAGAATTCCAGGCTCCCAGCCAGCCCCCAGCTAGAGCCAGTGGGTCCCCTTCAGGATGGCCTTCCCTGGACCCCAGAGCTGGGGCGTGCTGGAGGGGCTCAGGGCAGGGAAGCTGTCCCCAGGCCTGGTCCTGCTGGATGCGGGGTGGGGTGGGGTGGGGGGACAGTGCAGGTGAAGCCAGAGGTCAGGCAGGAACCCATGTCTCTGCACAGGGAGGGAGGTAAGCCACCTCATGTCCACACGGCCACCAGCTGCCCTGTGGTCCTGATCATTGCCACCCAGGGAAAGTGTCTCATTCCCTTCTGGCCCTCAGTTCTGAGGTTCAGCTGAGACAGACAGATGCTGCATACTGGACTCGGCTGAGGGCTCTGGTGAGCTGGTTCCTGCCACCCCGGGAGGGAGGACAGCCCCGCCTTGCCCACCAGCAGGTCCAATCCATACACGCACAAGGCCGAGTGTCTACACCGGGGCTGGGGCCCGTGGGTGGGCAGCAATGGGTGTGTACAAGGAGGGCTGTGTGACCGTGGTGTGACCATGGTCCTACAGTTTGTCTCTTTACGCCCTGGTAGCCAGAGGACCCAGTATGCACTCCTCATGCCCGGAGCGCCTCCCCTGCCCTTGGGGGTTTGGTTCGTTCTTCCCGCTGTGGCTGACTTAACAGCTCCTCTGCCCCACCAGCTTCCCTGCAAGGTCATGTTGGCAGTTTAATTTGTGTGACAAGGTGCAGGGAAAGCAGAGAGCAGCTTTGGGGCATATGCTGGCCTCTTGCCCTCGCTGGGCCTCAGTTTCCCTAGTTGTCACAGTGGGGCCGGGCTCCATGGTGCCCCTTCATGACTCTGAGGTGCACCCATGCCCCCAGACTGAGTCTGTGACCCTGCCAGCGCTGGCATGGCTCAGCCCAGCCTGGCTTCTCCTCTCCAGGGCTCTGTCTTGGCAGCTGCCTCCTTCTGGGCCAGTGGACAGCACTGCTGGCCCCTTGTGTTGGTGCAGGGGCGAGGGGTCCATGCAGTTGGCCTTGGTGGACTGGAGGGGACTGGCCTGGAGGAGGCCCTGAGCAGCGCCAGGCACTGGACCATGCTCACTGAGCTCCAGGCAGTGTGGCCGTGTGGCCCACATCCCGCCTGCTGCTGGGAGCCTAGGTCTGAGCTCTGCATACTTGTCCTGCTGCTTTTTGCCCATGAAAAATAAACAGGCTGCACAGCCAGGGAACAAGCAGGAGGGAAAGCGGTGGCTTGTCACTGCAGCTGCCAATCCCCCGCCTGGCCCACCTGCTCCCCTGGGGCTTGGGGGCCTCCCGGGGCAGTGCTGGGCCAGGGCCCAGCCAGCCTGACCTTGCCCCAGCGCTGGGCCCCAGATGCTCGGGCCCTGCCCTCCTCTGCTGGATCAGGCATCACACACCAGCCTCTTCCAGGCTTGAGGTCTCTAACTTCATGCAGCCCCAGCCAGAACCTCAGCCATGCTTGTCCTCGGTGTCCTCCCACCCCATGGAGCAGACCCTGCCCTCGCTCCTGTCCAGTGCTGCCGGGAGCCCGGAGACTGTGGTCACCTCGACCCTGCCTGGATGTCCCAGGCACCTGGCAGCAGTGGAGCTGCCTCTCATTCCCTGCTTGCTGCCCACACTGGCCCTGCCACATGGATGGGCTGTGTGGCCACGCACAGTCCCCTACCCTTTCTGGGCCCTGGCATCCACTTCTGTGAGATGGGGCTGGGGGTCCCCGTGAGATTGGGATGATCTGGCACAAGCTATGGGTGGCAGAGGGCTAGAGCAGCAGTGAGCACTCATCACACTAGCTCTTCCTGCCCTTCCCAGGGTGCTCTGAGATGCCCAGTGCTGTGGTTCTCCTGGGCCTGGCAGGAGGTGGAGGAGCCAGGTCAGAGCCCCAGGACCCACAGGGAGTGAGCTGGCAGCTTCCGGCCAGCCTCAGATTAATGGCTTTTAATTTAGAACTTAATCAGTGCGGCTTCCCTCCAGAGAGCTGGATGCTGTGGTCTGGGAGTAAGTTGTCTGATCTGTGCATGGGGTGGGCAGGGGGCCTGCGATGGGCTTGCCCGGCCGCTGCCCTGCCCTGCCTTGAGCTTGCTCTGCTTTGCCCACAGCTGGCAGGCGCCCTGGTCATGGAGGACTGCAACATGCACTCGGCTGCCAGCATCCTGGCTTCGGTGAAGGAGCAGGAAGCCCGCTTTGAGCGGCTGACACGAGCACTGGAGCAGGAGCGGCGCCATGTTGCCCTGCAGCTGGAGCGTGCCCAGCAGCCTGGTGTGGGCAGTGGTGGCGTGGGCAGTGGGCAGCCCCTGCCGATGGCCTGGCAACAGCTGGTCCTGCAGGTAACAGCCTAGTGACTTGGGGTGGAGGTGCAAACAGCCAGGTGGGGAAGCAATCAAGGGGTCCTGGTAGACCACAAGCCAGCATGCATTGGCTTATTGCAAGACCTACTGGGGCTTCTGGGGAAGAAAGGAAAATGGAATCCCAAGGGGGCTTGATGGTTCCTCCGTCCAGTCATGAGATACATGTATAATGCACAGGCCAGCATGGGTACACAGTCAAAGCCAAATTAATGTCTTCAGAGGACCCCAGACCTATTGGGGAGCCCTCTTTCCAAGCTCCTGGTACTGAGATGCCTCCAGTGGGCCTGGGTGCTGTGGTCACCCCCACAGCTACCAGACTCCAGGCATTGCCAAGGGTGAAGTTTTCACCCCCAAATTGAGGGGAGAAGCAGAACAGCCCAGTTGGACCGCATCAGGACAGTGGCAGCCAGTGACCCCGAGGCTGCCCCTCAGGCACTGGAGTGCTCAGTTCCCAGGCCGGAACCGGCTCTGTTTTCCAGCCCACCAACAGGCAGTGTGGGAGGACAACAGCACCCTGGCTGGCACCCTAGCGGAAAGATTTTCCCACAGCCTGGAGCTGCCCGGACCTCAAGGATGAGGACTGCCAGACCTTGGCCACTGCCCGTCCCCCGCTTCCCCTCCACCCTTGGTTTTATGTATTCCTAGGGCTGCAACTGAACTGTCCAGGCTGGCAGGGATGCTGGGGGGCGGGGCCATGGCGTTGGGTTGGCCAGGCCCAGCCGCCTCATGCCGGACCTGCTTCCCAGATTGATCTCAGCTGGAAGTGCCTGGTGGCCTACCTGTGAGCCACAGGCGCAGAGCCAGGGCTGGGGTGGGTGAGCCAGGGCAGGGGTGCTGCTGCTGTGCCCACTGGGCTGCCAGCTGGAGCAGGGCTGACCCCGATCCGGGGGGAGGGGCACCAGCAAGGGACTTGCCTCAGGCTCAGGCATGGTGGGTACGTGGCCAGGCAGTAGCAGCTGGTGAAATTGAGAAGACAGAACCAGCTTAAGCATAAGATCCGAGCCGCCTTCCCTCGGGGAAGTGTTCCGGTCCTCCTCCGCACTGCCCTGTGCAGCTCCACACAGGGCTGCCCTGGATGGAAAATGCACAAGGCCAGTGGTCAGGGCAATTCACCCCTGTGCAGGTGGGGAAACAGAGGCTCAGGGGCACACAGTGGGCACCCAGAGTCTCTGGCATGCTGGCCTGTGTACATGGCACATCGTGGAAGCAGCCTGTGGCCCCAGGAGAGGCTGTTTCTGAGTGGGGTCTGGGGAGAAGTGGGTAGGGGGCGCCTTCTCTTGCCATACCTGCTGAGCCTTCCTAGCCTGGTCCCAGCTCTTTTCATCTCAGAAACTGTTGCCTAGTTCATGATGCTGGAGCCATTGGTTTGAGTCTACAAGGTATGACCCAAGAAGGTGGCCCCAGCCCTGCCCCTTCCCCTTCCATTGCCCCCCAACAGAGCCAGACACCCCAGCTCCTGGCCGCACATTCATTCCAGGCTGGGGGCGGAGTGGGGGGCACCCTGGGTTTCTGTGCCTCCATGGGGAGAACTCAAGATACAAAGCGAATCTCCAGCGGGGTGGTTTGCCAGGTCCCCATTGAGCTGTGTGGGGACAGTTCCTTGGAGCCTTGTTCTGGGTGGGGGCTGGGCAGGGTCCGAGGTGGGACCTTGCAGCACCGACATTGCCATCACACCTGTCTGGTTGTGCTCCTTTTCACAGTAGGGTTAAACTGAGTCGCAGCCAGGACGAGAGCGTTTTGTGCTGGTGAGGGTGGCCTTGCTCTGTGTCAGTCACTACACTGGCCCCTGCCCTGCAGGAACTCAGTTTCCCCAACTCTACATGCGAAGGAGCGTGTGTGCACATTTACCAGGCCCAAAGTGAGGCCTCGGAAGGAGGACTTGGCTAAGGTCACTCTTGGGAAAATGCCACCCCCGCCGCCAGGAGGGATGAGGCGCCCAGAGCCAGGGCGGGGGGCTGGGGGGAGCCCCTGGCACCGCCCCGCCGCAGAGCCCCGCCCACACCGTGGGGCGGGACCCGGCGCCCGGCCCGCCCGTCTGGGCGCGGCCCGGGCAGATTGGCTGCTGGGCGCGACCGCGCCAGGGCCGCCCCGCGGGGAGCGAGTCCGCCGAGCCGAACCCGAGCGGCCGAGGCGCCGGAGCTGAGCCCGGTCCCGCCGCCGGCCCGCGTCCCGCACCCCGAGCCCCGGCCTAATGCCGGCCGAACTCAGACAGGTTGGAGGGAACTTGGCTGGTGGGGGGGTGCTGGCCCGAGCCGGGCAGCTAGGGGCAGGACGCCGGCCGGCCCCGGGGGACCCGCTTTTGTTCTTCAGAGCCGCTGGCCCGAGGCGGCTATTGTCTGCCTCCCGCCCGGCTGTGGCAGGCCACAGCCGGGTGGGGTGGCGGGGTGAGGCGCTGCCCCCAGGGTGCAAAAGGCGGCAGGGTGCACCGGCGCGCAGGGCGGGGCCGCTGGGTCTCCGGAGACGTCCTGGGGGCTGGGCGTGAGTCTTCCCCAGCAGAGCGACCCTGCGTGTGGAGCGGGCAGGGACCCGGGTGGGCGCATCCCCGCCAGCACTCCGCACAGGTGGGGGGGTCGGGGCAGGCCTTCCCGAACAGTTCTCTCTGTGCAGGAGCGAGGCTGAGTCTGCAGAGGGAAGCCCGCTAGGCCTCCTGCTCCCTGGGGGCTTCCTCGACGCCCCTGTGTGGACTGCGGGGACTCGAAGGAGCTTCCAGAGCTTTAATGGAAGCCCTCTCTGCGCATGTGAGGGGAGGGATGGAGGCTGGCCCTACCCACGTGTAGAAGATGCAGAAGGGGGTTTCCAAAGAAAACCCAGGTCCTCTGCCTCCCCAAACCAAGGGGGACGAGAAGGCAAGGGGCAGCCTGCACTCTGCTCAGAGGGGGGCCGGATTCGATAACAGGGAAACTGAGGTGGAGCAAAGGGGGAGACCACCCCAGACCCCCTGTGGTGGGAGGCAGGTCTCCTACACACCTGTCTATTTGGGCAGGCAGGTTCCTGCCTGTTTTATAGTTCTGGTGTGACCCCCAAGGGCCTGGCCACTGCCCCAGAGATGGAGGAGCCGGTTGGGGGGAGTCATAATCACAGTGTGGTGGATGATCCAAGGGCTGGGCTTGGGGCAGCCCAGGTGAGTGACAGCCTTGCTCTCCTCCCCCACCCCAGCTTGCTCCCCAGCGTGGCCTTTTGGCCACTCTGCCCAGGGCCATGGCCTGGCAGGTGCGCTGCTGCTGTGCAGAGGTGAGCTCCTGGTCCTGAGAGCTCGGCAGAGCCCATGGGCACCAAGGGAGAGGGCGTTTCGTGGTGGCCAAGGCTCACTGCCTGGCGGGAGATGCCAGCCTGACTTGTCCCGGACTCTACCCGGTAGGGCCATGCTGGGGGGTGTGGAACTGTCACTGCCTCACCCCTGCATTCATCCAGTGGCCGTCTCATGCCCCCAGGAGCCTGGCCCAGGATGTGGGAGCCAGGTGTGCAGTCTCACTTTAGCCTCTCCCATGTATGCCAGCAGGGCCTTGGGCGGAGTGGGGTGCCCACCCTTGCAGTGTGTTCTTCAGGACACAGACCATGGGTGCTTGTCTGTGAAGTCCAGGTAGTGTGGGTAGATGGGCGTCTCCAGACCCCAGCTTCACCTTCACCCCCAAATTAGGGCTTGGCTTGTTTCCACTGCCTCTTCCTCCGCCATCCCCGCACCCACCTGGACGCTGTCACGGGCCCCTCTGCGTTGGTCTGCATCTTGAGTTTCTGCTCCCCGTATACCTGTATGTGGATATTCCCCAGTGCTCCCCAGCACGTCCCACCGTCCCAGCACCCTGTGTCCTTCCCATCTCCCTGCGAGGAGGCTGAACCGCAGGTGCGTGATGGGGCACAGAGCCCTCACGCTGTGCTCAGCCCTGTGCCTCTGGGGACCCTATTGAGAACAGTGCTGGGTGCGTGGGTCCACCTCTCTGGTCATTCCAGCCCCTCTCACAAGCCCAAGGGACCTCATGGGAAGCCCCAGGCCTGGGCAGCAGCCCCTGTCGGGGCCTGGCCTGAGGCATCACAGATGGGAGAGCCACGGGAGGGCTTTGGGCTGCAGAGATGAGTGATGGGAGGCTGGGCGTGGTCCCTGCAAGAGGGGCAAGGATGGGGCCCAGGCTGGGGAGGGGGTGACGAGAGAACATTGGCAGGACACAGCATGTTGGGTTGGGCTAGGGATGGAGTGTCCAGGATGGTGCCTGTGTCCGGGGTTCAGAGGGGAGTAGCCCAGAGTCGGATCTGGGGTAGAAGCTGTGTGTGGCTGCAGGTCCAGGGGCCCCTGAGAGTGGACCAGCCTGGGCAGGTACACAAGAGTCATGGTGCCATGGAATAGGGCACTGGGGCCAGGCAGGGATCCAGGTACCCTGACCAGCCCCTCTGTTGAAGACCCACCATCCCATAGCCCGAGCCACATGATGGCCTTGGGCCTCTCACTACCCTAGGCCTCAGTTTCCCCATCTGCCAACAGCTCTAAGACCCCGAGAGTGGACACCTGGGCGGGAGACTGAGGGAGTTGGTGGCCCCTGTCCATGTGTGTTGAGAGTGTGTGAGGCCTTGCGTGGATGAAGGTCTGGACAGGTGGGTGGGAGACACGAGACCACGTGTGCTTACCAGTGCCTTCGGGAGCAGCAGGTGCTGTGTGTCTGACAGCAGCCAGGAGAGCACGCAGGTCGCTGGGCCTGGGCCTGAGAGCCTGGCTGGGCGCTCGCACACATGTGCACATGCACGCATTCCTGTCTGGGAAGTCAGGTGCACATGTGTGTCCAGATCCCTGTCCGAGTGTACGCGTGTGTGCCCGGGCTGTGTAACGGGGACCGGGCTTTCCTGTGATCACTGGCTGACTCACGCTCCTGTCCGGGTGAAGTCATCGTTTGTTTTTAGCTCCCTGAGGTCATTTGCCAGCAGAGACTCTTGGGGCCTTGGGATCCTGCTGCCAGCCTTGCTGGGGGGCCCTGGCTCTCCCGGACCACCAGGCTCTTGCACGGTCAGACCCTCACCACACCGGGATAGGAGGGGTAAGCTGGGTCACAGAGTGGCAGCAAGGTCCCCAGATATCTTTTGCCTTCTTTGCGCCTTACCCCCACCACCTAGCTAGGGAGGAGGGGGCTCTCCTCTGAGTGTTTAATGTACGCAAATATATGTAAATCTGAGGGGCTGCATCCCACTGGCAGTGTCCTGGGCAATATCCCCTCGGTCTTGCTCCTCTTCCAACTCCCGCCCCACCACTGAATGGCTGGGGCCTGGCCCCGCGCTTGAGCCCCAGGGCCCTGCAGAGAGAGCTTGGGGCCTGACATGTAATTCGTCCCCCGTAGGGGCCACGTAGGATGGGGCAGCCAGGCCCCAGCAGTGATAGGCTGACCTGTGCTGCCTCCTGTTCCAGAGCAGTCTTGGCTTCTCAGGGCCCTTGGAGAAGAGCCCAGCCTGCCCTGCCTGGCAGCCTGCCACTGTCCTCACTCTGGGCCTCAGTCTATTTCTCTTTCCCAGGCAACAGGGTCCCCTCTCCCTGGCCAAGGCCCCAGCAAGATCCACCACCCACATCCCAGGACAGGGGCTAAGTGACGCTCAGAGGCTCCCTGGCCAGACTGTCTTCCCTGCGGTGCCTGAGACACCCCTTCTAGCATTGTGACATTCTGGGTGAATCCTTTCAGCTGAGTCAGGCCTCAGTTTCCCCATCTATAAAATTATCTATCATCTTCTGAGGTCCTGCTTCGGCAGGGGACGGGAGGTGTGTTTTGTGGCCTCTTCTTTCCTATGTCAGCAGAGCCTGAGGGCTGCACCTGTCCTAGCTCCTCCCTGGACCCCTGCACTGCACGCATCAGGGGTCAAGCATTCCTCCGGGATAGGACCCCGACCTTCGCGGGCAGGTCCTGAGGGCAGCCCTGGCCACCTTGCCTTGCTCAACTCCCAGGCCCAGGATGGGTAGAGTCCCTCTCTGGAGCCAGGTGGAGCTCGGAGTAGGTGCAGGCCCCAGGGGGCCCAGGTAAGAGACCTACTCTGCAAGGCCTGGGGCCCGAGCCACAGAGCGGGGCCTGTCCTCCTGCTGACCCGGCTCAGGCTGCCTGGGAATGCGTCCCCCTGACCTGCCCCCACAGCTGGGGTTTCAGCCTCTGTCCTAGCTGGGTGCTGATCCTAGACGCTGGTGCAGCGTGGCCCTGGCGCCTGGACCGGTGTGGTCAGAGGCCCAGGGGCAGACTGAGGGTCTCTGGTCCCCACACCACTCAGCATAGAAGGGGTCGGGCCTGGCTCTGATGTGGGCCAGTGTGCCCTCTTTGTGCCTCAGTTTCCCCACTGTCAAGTCTGGCCTGTAGGCATGTGGGCCTCCGAAGGGCCTGTGCTCAGAGCAGTCTCGTTTAGAATTGCACTGTGGCCATCTCTTGCAGGATGGTGGCAAGAGTGGCCCTGGGCCCGAATCCACCGTATTTCTAAAGTCCAGTGCGACACCCAGGGTCTCAGTCAGTGCGGGGCCTGAGGGAGGGCCAGGCCCTGCCCACTTGATACCTGAGAATGCCTAGGGAGGAGGGAGTGAGGATAGTTTGATGCTCTGGGTGCACAGGGCGTTCTGGGAGTAGATATTTCTGCCTTTTGAGGGCGTCTGGCTGGCCTTGGTGGCAGGAGTCTGTGCGTGGCCACAGGAGTCAGCGAGCGGTGCTAAAAACGCCCCTCCCCAAGGCTTCTGCACTTGGGGCTTCTGGGATGGGGCAGGGAGGAGACCTCCGACACCATAGGGCCCTGTCGGGTGGCAGGTGACTTCGGGGGGGTGTCCTGCAGGTCCACCTGGAGCCTCCTTGGGCCTGGGGGAGCAGGTGGCAGCCAGGCCTCACAGGTCAGGAGGCCCCCCGAAAACTGCATCCCCTGCGACCTGTGGCCTTACCTGCTAACTCAGCCCGATGAGGCATGGGGTGGGGTCACAGGTCAGGGTTAGCGCCTCGGTGTTCAGAAGGCAAGGACACGTCACTGTCCTCCCTGGCTCAGGCGGGGACAGGCCCTGGGGTGAGTGGGCCTGGGAGCGGGGCCGGGAGGAGGCACACGATGAGGCCTGCATGGGGCCCTGCGTACCAGGCATGTATGGGCAGTGGGTCCTGTCTGCCAACAATGCCCCTTGCCCCAGGAACAGAGCCCAGGCAGCCAGGCCTCGCTGGCCGCGATGCCAGAGGCACCCGAGGTGCTGGAAGAGACAGTGACAGTGGAGGAGGACCCCGGCACACCCACCTCTCACGTGTCCATTGTCACATCCGAGGATGGCACGACCCGGCGCACCGAGACCAAGGTATGGCTGGGCCCAGGCAATGTGAGAGTGGCCAGACGGCCGCTACGGTTCCGTCTGCAGAGTGGGCACATAAGCAGCCACCTAGAGGCCTGTCTGGCCCCACCACAGCAGTTTGCAGGACTCTCGGGCTGCCCAGCCGACCTGCCCCCTCCCTGTCCACCAGGTTACCAAGACGGTCAAGACGGTGACTACGCGGACGGTACGCCAGGTGCCCCTTGGCCCAGATGGACTCCCCCTGCTGGATGGTGGCCCCCCGCTAGGCCCTTTTGCTGATGGCCCCCTGGACCGGCACTTCCTGCTGCGTGGTGGCGGCCCAGCAGCCACACTCTCCCGAGCCTACCTCAGCAGCGGGGGTGGCTTTCCTGATGGCCCTGATCCCCGGGACGGCCCCAGCTACGGCAGCCTGTCTCGAGGGCTGGTTGTGCGGCCCCCACGCACCGGCCCCCTTGGCCCGGGCCCTGCTGATGGCTGCTTCACACTGCCGGGCCGCCGTGAGTCCTTCCCCGTGGGCCCTGAGCCCGGGCCACCGGGTGGCCGCTCCCTGCCTGAGCGCTTCCAGGCAGAGCCATATGGCTTGGAGGACGACACTCGCAGCCTGGCCGCCGATGATGAGGGTGGCCCGGAGCTGGAGCCTGATTATGGCACAGCCACACGGAGGAGGCCTGAGTGTGGGCGGGGCCTTCGCACCAGGTGAGCACCCTGTCCCCATGGCTGCCTCCTCCTGGAAAGTCTGCCTTCCGGCCCCCAGCTGCAGGATAGCCCACAGGTAGTCGAGCTGCAGGGGTCTAGCTAGTCAGGTACACTTCAGTTTGAATTGGCCCAGCTCTGGTCCAGGAGAACAGCCAGGGCAGGCCCCGAGACAGTAGAAGTTAGGCTGGCGCCCTCCCTTGGGCCTAGGGCATGGGAGAAGCTGGTGACAGCGCCTGACACCTGCTGCCTTTGCTTCAGCCAGATGGCTGTGAAGACCTGAGCACGAGAGGCCCCGGACCCTCCCCGGACATCAGTTTCCTCCATGCATGGTAGCCCCTGGCCTTTCCATCACAGCCCCTGGTTCTGTCCCCTCTGCCCTCAGTTTCTGTATCTGTAGAGTGGGAATGTGACCACAGCCTGGGTCTGGATTCCATGGTGTGACCCTGGGCTCCCGCAGCAGTCCCTCCCCTGGGAAGTGAGTTTGATGACCACAGCCCACAGAGTGGCTGAGAGCCAAGGATGTCCTGTGCCCTGAGGGGTGGCGACCTGAATGCCCCTCTCGGATGGTCCCAGAGCCGCCCACTCCCCCACATCCTGACACCAGCTGGAGATGGGCCTTGTGGGAAGATGGGGTGGTTTTATGGAAGGGAGGTGCCCCTCCCCAGTTGTAGACGGACGCTCTGCAGAACATGTTTGGCTCGGGGTGGGGGACACTGACAGGAGTTAGTGAGCTCCCTGTCCTGGGGGGATGTGAGCCCTGGCGGCTGTCAGCTGGGCTTTGGCTCTGTCGATGGCTCTGAGTCCATTCTTGCTGGGCGGGGGTGTTACTCTCGGTGCTCCCTCCCTTGGGGCCGAAGTGCAGATGTTTGCAGCCCGGCCCTGCTGGGTGAGTTCACAGTCCCCTGGAGAGGCTGTGGTGGGCAGCTCAGAGGCAGGCTGGCAGCTGCTGTGAGGATGTCCACGCACCCCACTTGCATGCACAGGGCCCATGAGGACGTGGCAGATGACGGTGGCGAGCTGCTGGACGAGCGGCCTGCATTTCCAGCAGTGACAGCGCCCCTGGCCCAGCCGGAACGGGGCAGTCTGGGCAGCCTGGACCGGCTGGCCCGTCGCTCGCCCTCAGTGGACAGCACCCGCAAGGAGCCGCGCTGGCGGGACCCTGAGCTTCCCGAGGTGCTGGCCATGCTGCGGCACCCCGTGGACCCCGTGAAGGCCAACGCAGCTGCTTACCTGCAGCACCTGTGCTTTGAGAACGAGGGTGTCAAGCGGCGCGTGCGCCAGCTGCGGGGGCTGCCACTGCTTGTGGCACTGCTGGACCACCCTCGGGCTGAGGTGCGGCGCCGGGCCTGCGGGGCGCTGCGCAATCTCTCCTACGGCCGTGACACCGACAACAAGGCCGCCATCCGGGACTGCGGTGGCGTGCCTGCCCTGGTGCGCCTGCTGCGGTCTGCCCGGGACAGTGAGGTCCGTGAACTCGTCACTGGTGAGTGGGCCCAGCTGTGCTGGCCACCCCTGCAAACAGAGGGGCGCAAGGCTGAGCCAGGGAGGCACCAGGCCACTCAGGGCTCGTGGCCAGGGAAACACCAGGTTGTCGGGTGACCTTGCTCTGGGACACCTTGCCTGGCAGGCAGGTGTCAGGCCCAGGCATTAGGGCAGGTCCCCAGTCCCTCTGCCCTCAGGCAGGCCCCTCCGCATGGCCTCACATCCCCACAGCAGCTGCCCTGGGCCATGCACCTTGTGGGACCTGAGGGACAGGCTGAGCTACCTGACTGTCTCCCCGTGGCCTCACCTACCCATGTAGCAAGGAATGGGGGAAGGGACAGCCCTGCCGTGCCCCTCCTCTGGGGCTCCCTCCCAGCTGGGAGCTGTGGCCGGGTGCTGTCCACACATCTCACCCAGGCCAGGACAGCCCCAGAGTCTCCCCTGGCTTTTTTCACTTCCTGCCGTTCTGTGTGAGCTGGGGCACGAGGGAGGGTGGGGTGGGTCCTGGGCACAGCCACCTGGGTAGGGAGGGAGGAGGGATGCCTGTGGTCAGCATGGTTGGCCGATCGTGTCCACAGGCACACTCTGGAACCTGTCGTCCTATGAGCCCCTGAAGATGGTCATCATTGACCATGGCCTGCAGACACTGACCCATGAGGTCATCGTGCCCCACTCAGGCTGGGAGCTCGAGCCCAACGAGGACTCCAAGCCACGGGATGCTGAGTGGACAACCGTTTTCAAGAACACATCAGGTTGCCTGAGGTGCGGGCAGCTCCTGCCCAGGCTGCTCCCATGGGGTGACTGGGTGCTTGACCACTTGCACCTGCCGTCCTATCCTTCTGGTCCCAGGTGGCGGGGAGGGCTGCAAGCCGCCCAGATCTTGGGCTTCAGAGCCATGGCACGAGTCTCTGGATGTGGAGCAAAGCCTAGCGGGGCTGTACTCACCCCCTAGGTCTCCCCGCTCTGCGGTGCCTCAGCCCTACCCAGTGCCCAGCCCCCTTACCCCTCACCGTGACAGCTGGGGGAAGCTGGGACCCTCATGTCTATCTGCCTTGAGGCCTCATCCCACCTCCCTGTGATCCCTGCCCCTGAGAACCCTGCAGAGACCTCTTAGGCAGAGCCCTGGTCCCACAGCCTGCCTGTCGCTCAGGATATACCCCTGCGGCCCTGTGGGGTCCTGACCTCGGGGCACAGGAGGGCCCAGAGCCATTGCTGGCATGGGGGTGGGGGACACAGAATTGCCTCTTGGGGCCCATCTCTGTCCCTTTCCAGTCCAGCTGGGAGCCAGGGAGCCGCCTTTTCCTCAGGGTGCTGCCAGGCTTGGGTCTACCTCCTGGGACCGGGGGGTAGTTAGGCCCTGGCCCCCTGTTCCCTGTGCCCCAGGGTGGCAGTGGGGACCATTCAGAGGTGAAAACAAGCAGTCGAGGCTAGGGGTTTCCATGGGGGCCCGGGGTCACCAGGCCTGCTCTTGGCCACCCAGGAATGTGAGCTCAGATGGTGCCGAGGCCCGGCGGCGACTCCGGGAGTGCGAAGGGCTGGTGGACGCGCTCCTGCATGCCCTGCAGTCGGCTGTGAGCAGGAAGGACACAGACAACAAGGTGGGCCAGGCAGGGTGGGGCAGTCCCACAGCCTCCCACCAAGGGTGGGGGAGAGGGCAGTGCAGGAACAGGCCCTTGAGCAACACAGTCGGGGGTGGGCGCTGGACATGGCCTACCTCACAGTGGCCACACTGTGAAGTAGGCGTGGTCCTCCACAGCGAGGTTTGGGCCTGTGTGGCCCTCGCTGAGGGCCCCATCCCACGCTTCTGGGACCATCGTGCATGTCAGCTGAGGGCCTGCTGTGTGCCTAGGGCTATTGAGGGGGTGGCAGCAGTCCCCATACCCAGTGGCCCTGCCCCAGCCGCTGGCCTCTCCCTACAGTCAGTGGAGAACTGCGTGTGCATCATGCGGAACCTGTCCTACCATGTGCACAAGGAGGTGCCTGGGGCCGACAGGTACCAGGAGGCCGAGCCCGGGCCCCTGGGCAATGCCACGGGCCCCCAGCGCAGGAGGCGGGATGACGCCAGCTGCTTCGGTGGCAAGAAGGCCAAAGGTGGGTGGGTGAGGCTGGGGTACCACTCTAGATCTCTGCCCCAGCTGAAGGCTCTCTGAACCCATGGCAGGCAGCAGACGGGGGCCAGAAGACACCTGGTCAGTCCCCGACCGGCAGGTGGGGGAGCAGAGAGCAGAGGATGGTGCGCTACCCCCGGTCACAGCTGATGAGCCAGGGCATGGGACTCAGGCCCTACCTCCCCCGTCTACACAGTGGGCCCCCCAGGAAGACACAGGGGAAACCACGAGGTGGTCCCACCTGTGCCCAGCCCAGCCTCTCCACTCTGGGGAAGGGCTCTGAAAGCGCCACCAATGATACCACTTGCTGGCCACTCACAGAGAGCAGCTGTAGACCCTGACCAGCCTGTGTGGCATCCCCCATCCTCCTGGGCAGTTGCCCTACACAGCCTCCCCCATACCTGCAGGGTGTAGGTTCCCGGGACCCACATCCCAGGTGGCTGCAGTGTGCCTATGCGCTGTTTTTACCTGCCCCACTGACCCCCAGCCTTTCCTCCCTGTCTCACTGGGGGCATTCAGCCCCCAGAAGTAATTGGGGTGAGGTTCCACGTGCTGCCTGCTCAGTCCAGGGTGTGCAGTGGGAAGCCAAGGCCTTGCGGGAGGGTGTGGGGGTGCTGCCCACTCAGGCTCCTCTCCTCTCTCCTGTGCTTCCTCCTGCTGCCCAGAGGAGTGGTTCCATCCAGGTGAGTCCCTGCTTGTCCTGCAGTCCAGGCCTGGCAGGTACAGTGGGCTCCTGGGAAGGGGCAAGCACCTTCCAGCCTCGGGGCTCTGCACCAGCCCTAGTCTCAGCTCCTGGCTGCCATCTCCATGACAGTGGCAGCAATGTGTGCCCTGGCTGCCCCTAACCTCAGACTTGCAGAGGGTGGGTGGGGCCCAGGGTGTTTGTCCCTTTGGGTACCAGGGAGAAGAGTCTGCCCTTCTGATGGAATGGGGTGGTGTGTGGCTTGGGGAGACAGCACAAAGGTCCCATGAGGGTGGGCAGGGTGAGGGCCCCAGATCATCTGAGCTCAGCTCTGCTGCCTTCCAGAGGAGAGAAGCTTCCTCATCTGACATGGGGAGGATGGCTGGAGACAGCCAGCTCGCTGTCTCGGAGGTGTGCACGCTTGGGCCCCACCAGTGTTACCTGGGGCTGCTATGGGGTTTCAGCCTGGGTATGGGGGTTTCTCCTGCCTGGTAGAGCCTGGGACAGTGTCCTGACCCTAAACTGGGGGAGTTTTCCCCTTGGGAAAGCTCTTGGCCCAACCCTGCGTCTTGTGTGACCCAGGCAAGTCCTGTCCCTGTCAGCTCTCAGCTTCTCTGTGTGTACCTACCTGCCACCCCACCTGGGCTCCTGGCTGTCTCAGCTGCACACTTAGCGGCCACCAGAGAGCAACTGGGTGGGTCTGTGTACAGCTCTCAGCCCCTGGTGAGAGATGAGTCCCCGGGGATTGGGGCAGGGCTGGGATGTCCCCAGGCCCCCCACTACCACCACTGCCCTCTGGGCCAACCCATCTGCTCACTCTGAGAGCGGGCCTCTACTCCCAGACTGGACACAGGGTGTTCTTTGGGGCCTAGTCAGGAGAGGGCTATGTCCAACCTTCCTGACACACTCCTGCCCCCAATGGGGTCTACCTGACCTCCTGCCCTGCCTTACCTTCCAGGGAAGAAGGATGGTGAGCTGGACCAGAACTTTGACACGCTGGACCTCCCTAAGAGAACCGAGGCTGCCAAGGGTGAGTGGGTTGAGGCAGACCCTGCACCCTTGGGGAAGCCTGGGCCTAGGACTGTCCCCATGGTGAAGCTTTGGGCCATCAGGCAGAGATCAAATGGGGAAACTGAGGCCCACAAGTATGGGGTTCCCCAGAGGATGGTCCAGTCCCAGGGTACCTGCTGGAGTGTTCAGAATCAAGGTCATTTCAGGCAAGGTGGGTGGGGAGGCAGAGAGGCCAGGCGCTTGCACAGCCACACAGCAGATGCAGGTGGGCAGGGTTGGGGGAGCCCCCCTGCGAAGGCAGGGCCTCCGGTGCCAGCCGCAGAGCTGGGGTTCATGTGAGGGGGCTGGGAGCTGGGCAGGCATGGTCAGACCCAGGTTCAGGGGCTGGGCCAGAGGGACTCAGCCTGCCCAGCTTGTCCTTCCTGTCCCCGGGTCTGTGGGCTCCTGTGGTGTTGGCCCTCGGAACCAGCTTGAGGGAGAGAGGTCTGCCCTGGTGGGGCCCGGCCAGCCCTGTAAGTGGGAAGAGCCAGCCGGCAGGACCCCAAGTGGGGTGGAGGGGAAGGGCCCTCTGCGGGAGTCTGAGGACAAGCGTTACATACAGGCAGAGCAGCGGGCCTGTGCAGACACTCTGAGAGGGGTGCCCGTGGAGTGTTTGGGGGCTGGAGCGCCGCGAGCACTGGGTGTGAAGACTGGGGAATGGGTGTGGGAATGCGGGTAGGACAGGAGAGGGAGGCAACGTCAGTAGCCAGGCAGAAGCCCCCATGTGGGGACAGGCAGGCCTGGAAGGCTGCCTGGGAGCCTCCTCTCTGGAGACTGCGGGGCACCAGGCTCGGCCCAGTTGCTGGGGAGCCTGGAGTGGTCACAGGGGAGAGTGGGTCCTGTTGCTAGGGCAGCTGCCCTGGTCACAGTCTCAGTTGGTTTGTGGTAGATGGGCCCTGTCTCCAGGGAGGTTGGGCCCTGTTGCCAGGGGCTAGGCCCTGGTTGCACAGTCTGCTCCCTGTGAGGGCGGGGCTTGTTTGCACAGTCGGTTCCCTGTGAAGGCGTGTCCTATAGCCAGGGAGGGCGGGCCCTGTTGCTAGGACGTGGCCCTGGTTGCACAGCTTCAGTTATCGCCAATCCGGGTCCTGTTGCCTGGGAGAGCGGGCCCCGTTGCTAGGGGCGTGGCCCTGGTTGCACAGTCTGCCCTGTCACCAGGGAGGTTGGGCCCTGTCGCCAGGGGCGGAGCCCTGGTTTCACAGTATGTTCCCTGCGAGGGCGGGCCCCGTTGCTAGGGGCGTGGCTCTGGTTGCCACCTCTCCCCACTCCCAGGCCCTGGGGCTGCTCCTGCTGTCTACCTAGCAGGTCCCATTGACTAAGCCTCAGTTTGCTCCTCTGTGAAAGGGGACTGTGGCTGTTCCACACCTACCCCTGGCCCCAGCTCACTCTGGCCCTGGGAGGGAGGGGGTGATGGGTGACCGTGGGTGGCGGCTGTCCCCCTCCCTAGGCTTTGAGCTGCTGTACCAGCCCGAGGTGGTACGTCTCTACCTCTCCCTCCTCACCGAGAGCCGGAACTTCAACACTCTCGAGGCGGCTGCTGGCGCCCTGCAGAACCTCAGCGCGGGCAACTGGATGGTGAGGGCCAGGGCTGGCGGGAGCTGAGGGGCCCTAGCGCCTCCCCAAGGTCAGGGAAGTTCAGGGCATGTGGGCTGCGGGCTGGCGCCCTGGATGGTGGTGGGGAAGCTGCTCGGTGGAGGTGGCATTGGGGCTCTGTCAGGCAGGGGAGCAGGAACGGTCCGGGTCTGGAGGCGGGAGCGTGCCAGGGCCCTGCCGCTGAGCCCACCTCCCCGCCCCTACCGTACAGTGGGCCACCTACATCCGGGCCACCGTGCGCAAGGAGCGTGGGCTCCCGGTGCTTGTGGAACTGCTGCAGTCTGAGACCGACAAGGTGGTGCGCGCCGTCGCCATCGCTCTGCGCAACCTCTCGTTGGACCGGCGCAACAAGGACCTCATTGGTGAGGAGCTGGCCGGGCAGGCCTGGGCGTGGAACCGGGCGGACAGCTCTGGGGTCCTGCCGTCGGGGGCTGAGGGAGGGGTGGTTTGGGGGTCCTGGTCCCACCCCCTTAGCTCAGCCCCCTGGTCGCGCGGGTCTTGCGGGTCTTGCGGGTCTTGCGGGTCCTGGGGCTCTCCTGGCAGCGTCCCTCGCCTGATCCCTTCTCCATCCCGGAGGCTGGGCGGAGGTGTGCCCTAACCCTGCCCCACCCCCAGGGAGCTACGCCATGGCAGAGCTGGTGCGCAACATTTGTAATGCGCAGGCGCCGGCGCGACCCGGGGCCCGCCTGGAGGAGGACACGGTGGTGGCTGTGCTTAACACCATCCACGAGATCGTGTCCGACAGCCTGGACAACGCGCGCTCGCTGCTGCAGGCCCGCGGTGTCCCTGCACTCGTGGCCCTCGTCACCTCCAGGTGGGGGCAGGGCAGGGTTGGGGGCGGCTGGGGAGGGTCCACACTGACCTGCCCCGCTGACCTGCCCCCTATGCCACAGCCAGTCTGTGCGGGAGGCGAAGGCCGCGTCGCATGTGCTGCAGACGGTATGGAGCTACAAGGAGCTGCGTGGCGCTCTGCAGAGGGACGGCTGGACTAAAGCGCGCTTCCAGGTGTGGCCTGCCTGGGCCTCCCCTCACTCCGCCAGGCCAGGTCCCCAAGCGAGAGTGCCCAACCTCACTCCCATCTGTGTTTGTGTCTCCTCAGTCAGCAGCTGCTGCTGCTGCTGCTGCTAAGGGACCCAAGGGGGCTCCGAGCCCTGGGGGCTTTGATGATAGCACGCTGCCCCTGGTGGACAAGAGCCTTGGTGAGTGCTGGCTGGTGGAGGGTTGGGGACAGAATAGACAGGTCTTTTGCCACCAGATGGCCCCATAGTTGGTCTCTTGGGGACTCCCCGTGGCATCTGCATTTGTGTCACGCTGGCGGCAGGGGGGTCGTCTGCTGGTAGAGACTGGGCAAAAGGAAGCAAAGGTCTTGGTATCAGGGCATTCGGGGTCACCGAGGCCAGCCCTGCTGAGGTCTGTCTGCCCTGGCCCCCTGGCCACTGTGGGCAACCAGCCACCTCCCCATGCTTTGCAGACAGCGAGAAAACAGGCAGCCGAGACGGGATCCCCATGGATGCACTTGGCCCAGGTGAGTGCAGGCACGCTGGGGAGGGGCTGAGGTCAGACATGGGTCTGCCAGCTCTGTGGGGTGACTGTGGGTGGCGCTGGTTGGAGAGCAGAGCTCTGGGGTGCTCGGGAAGTGAGGGGCAGGGCCGCTAGGGAGCATCAGTGCCCAGCCAGGGCCTCCAACCGGCCAGCTGAGGGGGAGCTGGAGGTTGAGCTGCCATGAGGCACAGGCAAGGGCCACACCCCTGCGAGGCAGGGGCTGGTGAGAGCTGGGGCGGGCACAGGCCTCCAGGACAGGGCAGGCGGGAGCCATCTCCCAAAGCCCCCTGTCCCTGGGGCCCCTTGTCCAGGCTGAGAGGGAGACCTGCCCTTATAGACCCACCGCTTAGAGTCCCCTCCTGCCCCCGCCCCACCTCACAGATGGATACTCCACAGTGGACCGGAGGGAGCGGAGGGCTCGGGGCGGTGGCTCTGCAGGAGAAGCCTCTGAGAAGGAGCCTCTGAAAGTAAGTGGCTGTGGGCAGGCGCCCAGGGAGTCTCCATGCTTGGGGGTGGCCTGGAGAGTAGCCCATGCCTTGCTGAATCTGGTCTGGACGTCGGGGGCTGCAGGGCCATGGAGCCCAGCCCGGGAAGCCCTCTCACGGCAGGCAGTCTGTGGGTGCCAATGGGTTCATGGCTCCCACCCGCCAGGAGGGAGGGGCCTGGGACTGAGTCTGCCCAGCCACACCCTGCGAAGCCCCGCAGAGCCTGTGAGCAAGAGTGTCTGCACCCTCCTCTGCATGCGCATGCCTGGGTGAGGGCAGCACCCGCCACCTCCTCCGTGCCAGTCCCCAGGCTTCGTGCATAGGCCTGTGTGTGTCCACGTGTCATCCTGGCCGGTATGAGCCACGCTAGCTTGGCTCCCCAGCCCTCAGCGCCCCCCCCCGTGCTGCCTTGGCAGGCCCCCCGTCACAGCACTACAGCCTCGGCCCAGCCCCCCGCCCAGGCCCGCCCCATTGTGAGCTACGACTAACCTGCTCTGTTGTGCTTCTAACGCCCTCCCGTCCACCTGTCCGCTGTGCACTGCAGCTCAACCCTGGCAGGAAGGCCCCTCCCCCCGGGCCCAGCAGGCCCGCGGTCAGGCTGGTGGACGCCGTGGGGGACGCTAAGCCTCAGCCCGTTGACTCCTGGGTCTAGCTTGCATGCCTGGTACGTTCTCTCTCTGGTTGTCCGTCCACCTGTTTCCCGTCCTCTGGGCCGGGGCTTCCCACTCGTCTCCGCTGTCTGCATGCTCCGCTGTTCCTGCACGCCTGCCGCGGGACCCCAGCCTCCAGGCCGCAGGCCCAGATGCAGGCGTAGGGAAGGCCCGTCCGAGGTCAGAGAGGGAGGGTGCTCCTGGGCCCGCAGCGCCCTCCCCAGCACTGTGGGGTGAAGGCCTCAAGGAGACGGGGCCAGAGCAGGCAGGTCGTCCACCCTCAGACACCCCGAGCACAGGGCCCCGTGAGGACCAGCAAGTTGGGATCAGCTGTGGGGTTGAGACCCTCAGGGTCAGCTCGCAACACGCGCGGCAGCTGCCTCGTCCACATCTCTGTCTGCAGAGCCCAGGGAGGCAGCCTCCCTGTCGGGAGGTCGTGTGTTGTCCCGTCCTCCTCGGTTGGCCCCACCGCCCGCCCACGTCTGCACCGTCCCCTCTCCCTCCACAGGGCCCAGGCCCAGCCGCTTGTTCCTAGGGATTGGATCACCCACCAAGGGCCGTCCTGAGCAGACCCTGCGGTGGAGCTCACAGCCCCCTGGCGGCAGGGGTTTGCGGCGCCTCTAGTCGGAGCCAGGGCCTGACTTTGTGGACACTGTCCCTCCCTCCCTCCCTCCCTCCCTCCCTCTGCTCTTCCCACCTAACCCCCTAGGCCTGAGTTAGCTGTTTACTGACATGGTGCTGTGAGCACTCCAAGGCCGGCTGGGCTGCCAGGGCGGGGCCCAGGGAGGCTCAGGGGAGGGCGCCTGGCTGTGCTTTGGGGCTGGTGGGATAGGAGAGCCTGCCCCTGCGTAAGCAGTGCCTGAGAGAAGCGGGCTGGACCTGGCGGTGGAGGCCCCAGGGGCAGGCAGCCAAGCAGGGAGGGGGGCAGGGGAAAGAAGTTGGACTTGGAGGACGCGGACACTGCCCTGGGCCACCGTGCACGGTGGACAGACCACAGAGGGAGGCCTGGCCCCAGAAAGGAGGCTCTGAAGACAGCAAGATGGGAGCTGGTCTACGCGTGCCCCCAAACCGCCCCTGGAGTCCTGCAGACACCTGGGACCCCGTGTAGTGGTTCCCTTCCCTGCGCTGACTCTGCTGGAGCTGAGGCTACTGCATCTGCCCGGAACCCTGAGTAGCAGTGGCGGGGTAACTGCTGTTCAGTGCCTGCTGTTTGTGACTGAAAAACAGAAGAAAAACACTGACAAAAAGCATTGAAGACAAAACCAAAATAAGACTGTATTGGTAAACATCTAAATTTTTGTAAGAAAATTTAAAAATTAAAAAAGTGATGAAAGAACTTTTTGCTCTCCGTGGCTGGCATCTTTGTGGCCAGTGGCCAGTGATGAGGGCTGGGTTTGTCTGGGTGGCGATGGCCCCAGCATGGGCTCTGTTCCTGGCCCCTGGGCTCACTGCTGATCTCTCTGTACAGCCAGAGAAGGGAGCTGGCTTTTGGGGGCTTGACATGGGCCCTAAGCCCGGGAGTGGGTTCCTGGCCAGGGCTGGTCGGGGCACAGGTGGACTCAGCCAGGACAGGCTCAATCCTTGTTCCTGGTCTGGGACCTGTGGCTACAGAGAGCCTTGGAGGTGGTGGGCAATCTGCCCACTTTGGGAGCAGGGGCGGCTCTGGGTTCAGGTGGACACAAACCAACGCCATTTCACTGCTTCGCCAGCTGGGCGGCTACAAGAATGCCATGGTCAGTCTGAGCCTCCTCTCCCATGAGCAAGGCCAGGTGGGCTTGGGGAAGGTGCTTCTGCTCAGTGCCACACGGGGACCCAGAGGGGCTGGCACCACTGCATGGCTATGTCCACCCGTCCCCATCGCATGTCTGGTCAGAGACGCTATGAAGGCTGATACCCCGTCCCAGTTTCCTGGGCAGGCAGATGTCCCATGGGTGGGGCTAACAGATGCCCCTGGCCTGGTCATAGGAGGAGCAGTGCTGAGCAGGGCTGCGTCCCCAGCTATGCCTGGGAGCCCCTGGGCCAAGCATGACACCAGGACCCAGCCAGCCATGGGCCTGGCCTGTAGATCAGTGTCCCATGAAGGGGCCTTCGCAGGGCCGGGCACAGTATCTCACACCTGTAGTCCTAGTCCTCTGGGAGGCTGAGGCGGGAGGATGGCTTGAGGTCAGGAATTCGAGACCAGTCTGAGCATTAGCAAGACCCCGCCTCTACTAAAAATAGAAAAAATTAGCAGGGCGTGGTGGCATGCGCCTGTAGTCCCAGCTACTCAGGAGGCTGGGGCAGGAGAATCACTTGAGCCCAGGAGTTGGAGGTTGCAGTGAGCCATGATGATGCCACAGCACTCTAGCCCGGGCGACAGAGTGAGACCCTGTCTCAATAAAAAGAAAGGCGGGGGGCAGGGGGTGGGCAGAGCCTTTGGTGCATTTGGTGCCAAAGCTGGGGGCAGCAGAGGAACCAGGGAGCAGCATGGCACTTAGAAGAAGGGTACCGAGTCGATTTCTTGTATCTAAACATTTCAATCTTTAATTTTTATCTTATATTTTAAAGCATGATATTGCAGGGAAGACGGTTACATCTAGCAGATTTTAGTAAAGAAGTCGTGATTGATTCTTAAAAAAGCACAGCCTGGAGCTATGGGCGGGCCCAGGCCTGGGGCCTGAGCATGCTTTGCATTTGGGGCAGACCCCAGAACTGCAGAAGTGCGTTCTCAGGCGCACAGCACCACGCCTGGGAAGCAGGCTTGTCGGGGGAGCCCGGAGCAGTGGGCAGTCAGGGCTGCACGGGGCTGCCGGGGCCCAGGTAGATGGCCTTCTCCAGGCCGTCCACCGCCCTTATGTACTCCAGGTATGAGGAGTAGTGTGTGCACTCGAAGCGTCCGCTCCCGCGAACGTGTGCAAGGAAGTCTGGCGTGCCTGGGCAGATCACGTTGTCGGCCAGCAGCACCGTTCCTTTCCGTAACAGGCCACATTCCTGCAGGGGACAGATGAGGTGAGGGTCGGCGTGCCCACCCCAAAGCAGGATGGGTGCTCCTCACCAGGCTGCAGCCCCACGCTCAGCCTGTGCTTGGCCCCTGGGGTCTGGGTCTCCTGAGACCCTCCATTTTCTCTGCAGCACAACCCCTGCAGGAAAGGGCTCCCTGAGAACAGGGACCTCTCAGGCCCCCTTCGCTCCTGTGTCTGTCCCAGCCCCTAGAACAGCACGTGGCACACAGCAGGTGCTGGATGGGTGAGTGGAGGAGATGGCGGGGCTGGTGGCCTCCCGGAGCCAGGCAAGGCTGACCTCCCACCAACAAGCCGCCCTTTAGGGGCCAGGGTTGGCCCTGGGTGCCCCCCAAGCCCCGGAGTTTACGGAGTCCCGCCTCCGCCAGTGCCGGGCTCTGGGAGGACCCAGCCTGTAACAGGACATGCAGCCGCAGGCAGGGCCCCCAGGGTCCGCTGTCGGGAGAGATCCGGTAGGATGTGTGTCTGTCTAGCTGAGAGGAAGAGCAGCTCATGTCACACAGAATAAAGAAACCTTGAGAGGAAGCGTGTGCCTTTAGGGGAGGGGCAGACCATGGCAGGGGAGGCCTAGTCACCCTGTCTTGGAGATTTGACCTTGGAAGCGTGGAGGTTTTTTATATAATCATGAAAGAAAAAAGCAAAAGCAAATGATTCAAGGTGGGAGGGGTCTCTGGGTGACTTGGGGGTGGGCCCTAAAGAGAGCCCTGTGGTAGGCAGGCTGGAGGAAGCTGAGGGGCCCTTAGGCCAGTTGTGACAACGCAGCTGCGTGGCCAGTGAGAGAAGGGGACAGCCCCAAGGTCCAGAATTTGAACAGGAAGTACCACTAGGAATCATGTGTTTCCTCTTAGAAAATAAAAAACGAAAAAGAATGTCCTAGCAATGTCCGCTGGAAAGACCTAGAACAGAATGGCCCAGGAAGAGAGCACTGGCTGGCCTGAGAAGGCTCCCTCCCGGTCTGGGCCAGGGCCTGGGCTCCCAGACGCTCAGGGAATCCTGGATGAGACCCCTGCCACCCACCCTGGCGACACAGGTCCTTGGGTCCATCCTCTGGGCTCTGGACTCCCTCCCTGTCCGCTCCCAGGGCTCAGTGCCTCCCAGTTGGTCCCGGGCCCTCCGAGACTCCCTCCCCATGGCCCTCCCTGTCCACAAGCTCACGGGATCTTTCTGGAAGACAGGTTTAACTTTGCCCTCAGCTGCTCAAAGCTCTTTGGCGCCCAGCCTCCCTGTTCCCAGGAGGTCCCGTGGCCTTTGACACCACCAGGCCCCTGTGGGCGCTAGTCCCGCCCATCCTGGCCAGGCTGCCGGACCCGTGCTCACGGTCACGCCACACACAGGAATGTCCGGCTCCTGGGAGGGCTTTGTGAGGACAAGCAGCAGGCTGCCAGTGCAGGGACAGCCCATGCCAGCCCGGTGTTGGGGAGGCCGTGGGGGCAGTTTCCCGAGCCTTGGGAGGGCCAAGGAGCTGCCCAGGGTCCCCTTCTCAACCACCGGGCAGGGACAAGCCATCCTGCTAAGGAGGCTGCACAGTGCCCCAAGTCCCAGCCTCAGGAAGCAAGGACACCCCACTCGGTGCTTGGCCTCACTCAGGGGCACCAGGGCTTCTCGGGGGGCGGGGGCTGCACAACAAGGAGACGCAGCTCTCCCTGTGCCGGCACCACCAGTGGGCCCCGTGCCGTTCCACACAGGCGCTCTGGTCCACGGCACCTGCCCCCTCCCACTGCCCACCGCCCAGCAGCACCGTGCCTGGGCACAGGCAGGCTGGCACCCCCGTTCCCAATAGGCCACCTGGCCCAGCCCCCCCACCCTTCCCCACCTACCACAGGCCCTCCTCGACCCTCTGTGCTCCCTAAGCTCAGGTGACACCACCTCCAGGGTGAGGTGCCCCCCGCAGGGCCACCCTGGGCAGAGCTCAGCAGGGGAGCCTGGCTTCTGTGAGGGGCTGAGGCTGACCATCGGGGCCCCATGGCGGCAGCCAGCACAAGGCCCGGCCTCACCTCCAGGAGCAGTGTGTCTGGCAGGTATCGGTCCTTCCAGTGGTCAAGGAAGACCATGTCCAGCGTGTCCACATCGTACTTCTTCTTCAGCTGGGGGATGATGTCCTGTGACGCCCCGACCACAATGGTCACCTGGAATAGCGTTCTGTCAGCTCCTGGGCCCAGGTGACCTGCCTGGACACCCACTCGAGCATGCGCCCGACAGTCTGGGGTTCTGGGGGGACAGGCCCCCTCTGCCCTGTCCCTCCTGGGGTAGCCTCAGGAGTCCCTGCACCATAGAATGGGGCTGAGACCACCTTTGCCCAGCTGCTGGGGTTCTTTCCTCGGCCCCAGGCCTGGGCAGCACTGAGGGGTACAGAAGGCACCCAGGAAATGTGGCCTTGAACCAAGCCTGGGTGTGAACCAGGCCCTCTCCGCCTGCCCACCAGGCCTCTTTGAGCCTCACTGTCCACATCTGCCACCCTGGGTCAGGCGCTCCGCACCTTGTCCTGCAGGCCTGCGAACTCCACCATCTGCTGGGTGATGGCGGCGTAGTCGGGGTTGAGCTCGATGGTGATCAGCCTGGCGCCAGGTGACAGGCAGCGGGCCATCAGCACAGCCGAGTAGCCGCAGTAGGCCCCCAGCTCCAGCAGCACGGAGGGCTGGTACTCTCGCACCACCGCGTCCACGATCTGGCCTGTGGGGGGCGGGATGGGGGATGTGAGCCAGGGGTAGAGGGAAGGGAACCAGGCCCCCAGTGCTGGGGCCCCCACCTCTCCCAGCTGAGCAACAGCCCCTCCCAAACACCTGGCCTCTAGCCCTCCCCTCCCCTCTCCCTACCTGCTTCTAGGAGGCCTTTTACTTCCACTGCCCAGTGGCCAACCCCAAGCACCTGGCCCCTACCACACACACCCTCAGCTCCCAGGGTCCCTCAGGCCTCTGAGCCTTTGCACATACTGGTCCCTCTCTCTTTCCCACCCTCCCTGGGTGATCCCAGCATGTCCCAACTCAGAGCTGCCCTCTCTGGAAGCCCCTGCCCTATCTGTGCCCATGCCCCAGGCTGGCGTCCCAGCCCAGAAGAACCTGTCTGACAGGTCCAGGTAGGTCCATGGTGGGCCAAGGCAGAGTTCAAGGGGAGCCCCACCCACCTTCACAACCTATGAGTGTGGGGGCCAGTCTTTTCCGGGCAGCAGGCAGCAGCCTGACTCCTGCCCAAGACACAGGACAGTGGCCTTCCTAGCTGGCGCTTTCCTGACAAACCACATTTATCCATGTCCCTTCCACTCCACTGAGACAGCAGTCTGGGTGCAAAGTCCAGGACTGCAGCTCAAGCCCCCGGGCTCCAGAGCAGCTGCGGCCTGGGCATGTCCCAGGTTCCCAACCACCCGGAAGTGGAGTGGTAACAGCCTCCCCATGAGGCTGTGCTGCGTGGTGTGGGGTCCCCATCCCAGGGCCCACGCCTGCTGGCCAGGACCCCCACCTTTCTTGTCACCCACGTTCATGGCCCACTCCTTCTGTGAGCAGTAGGCGTCGATGGCCTCCAACACGCTCTTTGGGTTTCCGGACTCGGCGTGCTGCAACACATGGCGCAGGATACGCTGCTCCTTGGTGTCACCCATGAGCAGGTTGCAGAAAGGCTGCAGGACCAACTCGTACCAGAAGATGACCCACAAGCCCCAGTGTCTCCGCAGCAGCAGCACCAGCAATGCCAGCAGCACCAGGCCCAGCGAGGTCGCTATCAGCAGCAGGGGCGGGGCCTCCAGCATCTGCAGGCCAGGAAAGGGCAGGAGGGGTGAGGCTTCAGCGCTCTGCGACCTTCCTGCCTTTCAGGCCACTCAGTCTGGGAGTGCTGCCACTGCCCCCTTGTGTTGACAGAGAGCCAAGGTGCAGAGAAGCCAGCCATGTGCCTCAATTGCCTAACTCGTGTCAGCGCCAGAAAGCCAGACTCGCCGACCCCTCTGGCACTCGGGTGGACGGAGCAGGGCTGTGCCTCTGGCGGTCCTGTGTGGAGGCTGACCTTGCCCTAGGCGCTTTCCCTGACAGGTAGCGGGTGGGGGATCAGCTTCAGCCCAGGGACCCTCTTAAACCATACACGATACAGAGGTGACTGTGGACCAGGGCTGTCCCCTCCCAGCTGGCTTAGAGGACAACACACAGGTGAGGAAAGGCCCCATGGCCTGGAGTTGGGGGATGGGGGCCGGCCCCAAGAGAGGATACACGGTGCACAGGAAGCCCCCTCTCCCCTGTAGCCCCCGGCCCCATGCGGGGAGCCCACACTGGATGCTCAAGCTCTGGATAGCCCGAGAGATGCGTGTGGCCCTTCCATTGAATTTCCAGGTTGAGGACACAGGTGGTTCCCAGGCCAGGCACCCCAGGACAGACCCACTTACTGAGCCCCTCGGGGACGGGTGCAGGCTGAGAAAGACCAGCCCCGCCACCCACCATAGTGTGACAAGACATGCAGAGCTGTTCCTCACGGCACGATGAAATCATGGCAAGTGGCCCCACTTGAAACCCCATTTGAAATTCTCCTGGCAAGCAACCCTCTGGGAGGCAGCCTGGGGCCCAGGGACCCGGCCAGCATGGAGCCCAGTTCACAACGTTCAGGGCAGAAACCCGGGTTTTCGAGTCAGGGACCCTAAAATGGAAAAGGACGCAAAACAGAGGAACTGGGGAACCTTCTGCTGGGGCACTGTAGGCATTCACGGGTCTTTCTGGAACCACAGTGGCATGCAGACCCTGCTCCCGGCTGGATGCTCCCCTTCAGAAAGGCACGTCTAGCCGAGAAGGCAGGCCCAGGCCGCAGTGGGGCAGCTCCTGGAGGACACCTCGGGGGTCCGGGGGCAGACGGAAGAGCAACAGGAAAGCTGAGGCCCCGGAGGGCCGTGTGGACACCCAGACTCCTGGAGGGCCTCAGGCCCCACGGCCCATTTACACAGGCAGAGTGGATACGTGGCCGCAGGTCTGTGCGCGCACGCTGGGCCTGCACCTGCCCGGCGCTTCCCTCAGCAGCTGCCCTGCACGGCTGGTCTGGACCCGGTCCCGGCCTCCAAGCTGCAGGAAGGGTCTGGGCCCTCCTTCTCAAGCTCGGCGGCAATGCATAATGTATACATATATATTATATATACAAATTATGTCTGGTAATATGTACTGATATGTTACCAGATATAATTTGTTTGGACTTCAATTTTACCTTTCGATAATCAACAGAAATTGCTGGAGGTGGCCAAGGTCCAGGTATCTGAGCCCTTCCCCAGAAGCCAGCCTTGCCTGGCCTTCCCTGGAGGGGCGAGGGGGTGCTTCACTTTTCTAGCCTCAGAAGGGACAGCAGAAGGCCTCAGAGAGTGTCCCCCAACCAGGGACTCTGGGGACAGTCTCCCTGGTCCTTGTCCATGCTGCACCTTGGGAAATGAAGGAGAAAGGAACCATTTTGCCCAAGCTGTATTGCCCTGGAGAGCCATTCATGAACTTAGAAATGACACGTAAGACCAACGGCTAGTTTGCAAAGAACACGTACACATCGATAAAGAAAAAACAGTACAAGAGAAACATGGGCCAAGGTGCTTATGGGAAAAGGCCAAAGGGCCAGAAGCCCCGAGCACGAGAGGGAGCTGGGAGCAGCCGTGGCACCAGCATGAGGCGCCCCTGCCCACACCCAGCGGGCGCGAATCCCGTCATCTCCCCACACCCCACAGACACTGCGCTCCGGCCGCGCCAGGGAAAGGTCCTGGCCTGCAGAGTGGCAGGTGGGCCACCACGTCCGCCCGGGGCAGGGCACGCCATGACCCGTGAGGGCAAAATCCAGAGAGACGGTGTGGTCGACAGAACTGGGTGTCCTTCTGGGAGAAAGACGACGGGAAACAACGGACCCACGCAGGCCTGGCATGGCCAGAAGTCTCCACTTTGCTCCTTTCTTCACGGTTGGCATTCCGTGGCGACACACGTGCATTGCCTTGTCAGCATTTACCTGTTACCTGTGCTCTCTCGTGCCCGTCACTACCAGAGTGGTATTTCGGTGGTGACAGAGTGGCCATGTGTTTATTCTCTGTATTTCAAAAAACACTCCGGTAAATGTTAGAAATAAATACCCAAGATAAAAAAGGATATTCTGCCTAAATACAAAGTGCTCAGTAGACCTAGAGTTCTGAACTAGAGTTGAAGCCCTGTAGCACTTGAATTGTGTAAGAACTTGGCTTTTAAATCTCTAATCTCTCGGTCAGTCTGTTCATAAATCTGCAGGCAGGGCCGGCATGAGGGAGCAGAGGGCAGGGGTGGCTGAAGCCCTTTTCCTGTCAATAAATCAATAAGGGGAGGACGGTCACTCCCCCAGGCTGGCTGACCAGTCACGTGCCCCCACCAGCTCCCGCTGTGCCCCTTCCCAGGCCCCCCTGGGCTGGGGGCTCAGGAGGTGCTCAAGGTCAAAGGGCTGACCTGACACGCCCCGCCCCCATGCAGTGCCTGAGGGAAGGGGCTCCACCGGCACCTCAACCTCCCCAGTGTCCTCCTGCGACCCCCACAGGAGAGTCCTGGGATTCTCCTGTGAGTGAGAGGGACCTCGGCCTGCAGCAGAGGGGCTGGCCGCCCCAGGCCCCCAGCTGCGTGCTGGCCACTGCCCACACTGCCTCCTGAAGGCCTCTTCCAGGCTAATACACCCCCGCCAGCCTCCCACCCATGGGGCCTCCCCGACAGTAGGGTCCTGATGCTTCAGAACACCCTCCTCCGCTCTGCCCAGCAGGGGAGACCACAGGTAAGGGGAGGACTCTTTGGGTAGGGGAGGCCAGACCACACCCAGCCAGTGGTCATCACCCTGAGTTTTACAGAACAAAAGCAGGAGCAATGAGTGACTGGAGGGCCCCACTAGAGAAAGCTGCAGAGGACGCTGTTCAGAGCAGCTCCTCTTGCTTGGGGTCCTGGGCCCCCAGGCTGGGCACGCCAGCTCACTATCGCAGGACCCCATGGTCCCACTGCCCTGTTCTGGCTCCGTGACGTGGGTGGGTAGAGGGCCCCCCATACCTTATACAGATGCAAAAAGAACCAGCTCCACAGAGGACCCATCGGGACCCTCTCTGCTTCTGTGTTTGAAACGTCGTGGAAAGTTTTTAAATGGCTTGCCAAGCACACCTTTCAAATGTGGTTTCTGGACCAGTGAAGAGGGGAAGCCCGGGTGCCAACCCTGCCTCTCCCTCCCCATGGTGCCAATACTGGGAAAGCTGCTCAGGAGGCTGGGCCGTTACAGGGGCCTCTCAGGTGCACCTCCAGTTCACTGGGAGACACAAGTAGATGTCAGCACCATCCAGAGCAATCCACATATTTCATGCAATCCTTACCAAAAATCTCAAGGGGCTGGGCGCGGGGGCTCACGCCTATAATTCCAGCACTCTGGGAGGCCGAGGCAGGAGGATTGCTTGAGCTCGGGAGTTCAGAGACCAGCCTGAGCAAGAGCAAGACCCCGTCTCTACTATAAATAGAAAAAATTAGCCGGGCATGGTGGCGTGTGCACACTCTAGCCCAGGCAACAGAGCGAGACTCTGTCTCAAAAAAAAAAACAAAAAAAAAACTCAAGGGCATTTTTTACAGAAATAGAAAACTCCATCTTAAAAGTCATGTGCACCTGTAGTCTCAGCTACTCAGGAGGTTGAGGCAGGAAGATCACTTTAGGCCGGGAGTGCGAGGCCAGGCTGGGCAACATAGTGAGACACTATCTCAAAAAAATAAAATAAATAAATAAATACAAGTCACATGGAATCTCAAAGGACACAGAGTAGCCAAAACAATCTTGAAACAGAAGAACAAAGTTTGAGGACTCACATTTGTGATTTTGAAAGTCACAACATCACACCTAATTGGTACGGTAGGCACCATCTGGGGGATGGATATGCTTGAAGCTCTGACTCGGGTGGGGCAAAGGCAATATATGTAACCTAAACATTTGTACCCCTATAATATGTTGAAATAAAAAATAAATAAAAAAATACAAATTGTAATGTACAAACAACAACAAAATAAATATCTAATTAAAAAATAAAAGTCACCACAAAGCTATAGTGCGTAAAACAGGGAGGTGCTGGCATGGATAGACGTACAGACCAACGGAGCCCAACTGAGAGCCCAGAAGTGAACCCTCCTGTCTGTGGTCAAACGGTTTCGACATGCAAAGAAGGAAATGGGACCCACAGCATATATTACAAAATTAACTCAAAATGGATCAAAGACCTGACTTTAAGAACTAAAACTATAAAACCCAGAAGAAAACATAGGAGTAAATCTTCGTGACCGTGCATTCAGCAATGAATTCTTACATGTGACACCAAAAGCATGGGCAACAAAAGAAAAATAAAGTGCACTTCATTAGAACTAAAAAGTTTTGTGCATCAAAGGGCCCTATTAGGAGAGCAGACCTCAACCCACAGAAAGGGAGAAAATACCTGCAAATCATTTATCTGACGGGAGTTTAATGCCCAGAATATATAAAGAACTCCTACAATTGAACCACAAAAAGACAACCCAATTTAAAAATGGGACTTGAAGAGACATTTCTCAAGGAAGACACACAAATGGCTAAAAAGCATATGAAGAGATGCTCAGCATCATCAGTCATTAGGGAAATGTGAACGAAAACCACAGGATACTTCCCACCCAGCAGAACGGCACTGTTTTTGGGTCATGCAGGCTGGTCTCAAATTTCCGGTGTCAAGAGAGCCTCCTGCCTCAGCCTCCCGGGTAGCTGGGTTTACAGGCGCACTGCTGTGCCTGGCTACTTTTTTTTTTTAAGGAAAATAAGTGTTGGTGAGGACGTGATGAAATGGGAACCTTCTTGCAGCACCAGCGTGAATGCTACAGAAAACAGTTCGGTGGTTCCTCCAAAAGCTCAACACAGAATTGCCATATAGCCCAGCAATCCACTCCTGTGTGCATGCCAGGACCCTAAATCAGATGCAGACACCCGCGTGCCAAGATGCAGAGCAGCAGCATTTACAACAGCCAGAAGGTAGAGACGGCCCAGGTATCTGTCAACATCTGAGTGGATCAACACAATGTAGCAGACCCACGCGATGGAATATCATCAGTCATTCAAACGAAGTACTGATTCACGCGGCCACGCGGATGGACCTTGAAGACCTTATGCTGAGTAAAACAAGCCAGATGCAAAGAACAAATATTGTGTGATTCCACTTACGTGAAATGCCTAGAACAGAAAAATCCCTACAGAAAGAAAGTAGAGTGGAGGTTACTGGGGCTGCGGGAGCGGGAATTATTGCTTAAGGGGTACAGAGTTTCTGTGTGGAATGAAAAATGTTCTGGAAGTAGTGGTAACAGTTACACAACATTGTGGATGTACTTAATACCACTGAATTGCACACTTAGAGATGATTAAAATGGTAAATTATAAGTTCTGTATATTTTACCATGATTAGAAAAACATAGTAGAAAACAAACTAAAAACAAAACAAAACAAAAACAGGCAAACCCTGCTCCTGGCCCTCCCTGTTTCAAAAAGGGAAAAGGGACGTGCCATCTCCCTGGGAGACCTGGGCACTAGGGACAGCCTCTCTCTGCCAACCACAGCTGCTGGAGCTGCTGCCTGCTCTCTGCTCTCTGCCCGCCCCAGCTCAGCCCGACGCAGGGTCTGCTTGCTGCCCCTCAGAGGACGCCCACCTCCCTCTCCGAGGCAGGGCAGGGAGCCTCCTTGTCCCAGCAGAAATCTGTCCACCCTCTCCCTCACACCGTGGTGTGGGCACCCGCAGCTGGGGGTGGGAGGGGTGCCACGTCCTTCTCTGCCCCGACGGGCACACAGACCTGGCCGAGCGCAGGCTGCCTTTCCCCAACAGTGACAACAGCCAATTGCCCCAAAACCTTCCTTATTGTAAGTCTGTTCTTAAGTATGCCCCCCACAAGACTGACCCTGAAACCCATGACCTCCAACTCCCACCGTCATCCTCCCCTAGACCTGACATGGCAATCAAGATGCCTGGCAGTGGGCGGAGACCCCAGCAAGGGTGGGGCAGACCCCAGGGCCACCGATCCCTGGCTAACAATTCTGTGATCCTTTGCGGCAAATATGCTTGGCACATCCAGCCTGACGGCCAAACCTCAGCACGGCCTGCCGGTGGCCTGCCCCTTCCCTGCCTGCTGGTGCCCAGCAGCCCTGGTGGCTCCAGAGAGTCGGGAATGCAGCAACTCTTCTTTAAGGACATCCCAGAGGATTGCAGTTATCCCCAGCAGGCCCAGGAAGATAGTCCCACAGCTGCTGTGGGCAGAGGGCAGATACTCACAACAAAGGCCTTTTCCTAGTCACGCAGACACGGAGGAACTGGACCAGCGGCCATGCGGAGCTGCCACCCACCCCACCACGGGCTGTTGCCAGCAGGTCCACTCCTCTGCTCCAAAGTGCCAGGGGCTGTCCTAGGGGCTGACCAGCTCACGTGAGCACTGTGTGGAGACGCCCGGGGCTGAGATGGGGCCTGGGGGGCAGCCCAAAGGGGCAGGGCAGGACCATGGGTCCTGGGTGGGGCTCAGGGCGTCCTGTCCCCTCTTCTGTAAAACAGGGTAACAGTTCCACCTCTCCTGCGTGGTGGAGGGTGAGGCATGACAGTTCCATGTAGCATATGCACAAGCTCACACACGCCTGCCACATGCCTGCACATGCATGTGCACAAAAAGCACGGGATGCCCTTGGTGCCTCACGCCAAATGACATTCATCTTCCTTTAAAAGATTAAACATTTTCCATAAATTACGGCAAGTAACATCAGTGGGATGAGACACTTAAAAATCCTTTAAAAATATAAACTACCTATATGATCTAGTTTCTAGGCTCATTTTTGAAAATCCATAAAAGATGACACCTATGTACACGACTACCAGGGCCCGTGGAGAGAAAAGCCAAGGCCACCCAGTGTGCTCGGGAGACCTCAGACGGGCAGTGGAGGGAAGGGCTGGAGTCAGCCTCCCTGAGGAAGCTACGCCGTCCAGTGCAGGGAGAGGGGCTGGCGCAGAAGAGCGGAGCCGGGAGGGTCAAAGGGCCTGTGTCCCTAGCCTCAGGGAGAGTGGGGGCCGGGGCTGGCACAGCCTGGCATTCTGCAGAGGGGCCGGCCCAGGCTCAGGGGGAAGCTCTCGCACAGGCCGCGCACCTGCTGCTTGCCAGGTGCTGTGGGGATGACCATGGTGACTCTGTCATCACAGCCACACCAGGGGCAGATGCGAAGGCAGCAGCCTGCGGGGCACCTGCAGATCCACAGCCCCGGGCACCCCCAGGCCAGCCCTGCCTGGGGTCCTCCCCTAACAGGCCACACCGCCACCAGAGTGTCACACCCCGCCGTGATCTTTCACGGGCATTCCCCCACTCACATCCAGTCCTGCCTCCGCACCTCTTCTGAGAGGACTCCCTTCAGGTCTGTGGGCTCAAGCGCCAGGAGCAGGGCCACTGTCTCAGCTCCCAGCAGAGGGCAGGCCTCGGGCCAGGGTGCAGGCTAGCCAGGATCCAAGTGGAGAGGACAGAAAGGACAGGGTGCCTTTAGGGTGCGGGTGGAAAGGCCCTGGCCCTGCCTCTGTGGGGATGTCCAGGTCGGCCCTCTACCCCGCAGGCCAGCCCCTCCAGACCGAGCCAAGAGCCTGCTCTGCCTGGGAACTGGGAGTCTCTGGCAGCTCTGGGCACTGTGAACAAAGCCCAGCAGCTGTGCCAGCCCCAGCCTGGGCACGCCTCCAGCTCTCCCCCCATGAGGGCCCAATCTGACCTCCTCATCCCACTCCTCAAAGCCTGGGCAGTCATGCCTCCACCCTCCCTCCTCCAGGCTGAGTCCCGATGTTTCTCCGACCAAACTCCAGCTGGGCTCCTCCAAGCCCTCACCTTGGCCTATCAAGACTCAAATGAACACTAACACAGTTTCTATCAGCTCAAGGGCACATCCCTAGGATGTTCCTAGCCCCTTGGCCAAACTCAAGGCTGCAGGGAAAACTTCCAGTCTGTTCCAGCCAGCAACTGTGGACAGGGCCCATCTCCCAGCCTCCATGGGAGGGCAGGAGCCTGAATTCGATAAGCCCCGGTGGCCCACTCAGACAAGCTTCACACGGACCCCAACCCCTTCCTGCTTTTGTAACTTTCCACTTCCCTGGCTCTGCTCAAGCAACCCCTCACCCTCTCTGCACCTCCGCACAAATCCAAGGGGAGCTCAGCTCTTTCTGCTACTGTCAGTAGCCACCAAGTAGCTTCTGTCCTTACCACTTTAACTAACGTCCGGCTGTTTCTCTTTGATCTGATGCCAGGACTCAGATCTTTTTGGTAACTTGCAACCTTAAAGCTATGGTAAGTGAAGTTAAGTTAATAGATATTTGCTGAATATTGAAATAATTTCTAAATAAGAGAATAATGAAACATTCTAAGTTTATATACTTTTGGCTTCTTATTTTTATATGGTACACAGTGGCTAAGGATATTTGGGTCTGTTAATAAACATGCTCTTCTTGCCACATTAAAAAAAATGGTACTATAAAAAGCATGTATCTCTACGGATGTAAGACGGTATATTCAAAAAGTCTGCTAATTAACTGACATATCACAATTTGCAACTGCTTGTCTACTTCCTGGTTTTCTCTGTGAAATATAGGTTGCTAATAGTTAAAAATTATAATATATGAAAATAAAACTCCTAGAAACAGTAAGAGTTAAGGGAAACAACTTTGTATACAAAACATGGGAGGTAAATAGGATGTATTTTTATATGAAAAGTATAAAAAGAAAATAGAATGTGTTTTAGTTAAAAAAAGAGGAGTAATTTTGTCCTAAAGTAAAAGAAGAGGGAGCATATAACACAAAGCTTGAATGGATACAGAAAGCTGTAAAAGGTTTGCAGAAAATTAAAAACTTCATAAATCCATTTCATCCCAGCAGCTTTAACCTTATTACATAAAACTCCAAAAAGTTTTGCAGAAAAGGAATTTTATGTAGTGAGGTCAAAGCTGCTGGCATTAAACAGATTTATAAAGTTTTTAATTATGAGTTTTAGTATCAATCATGTACTGATAGGAAACTAGAGTTTGTTTTTTTCTCTCTTAAAACAACAAAGTTTTTTTGATTATTGGTCTGCTCTTATTTATTGATTCAATTTTTTAAGAGACAGGATCTCGCTACGTTGCCCAGGCTGGACTTGACTCCTGGGCTCAGGTGATCCTCTCACCTCAGCCTCCAGAGTAGTCCGGGAGACAGATGCGCACAGCCAGCTCACAAATCAGGTTTGAAGAAGCCACCACACTCGGCCTGGTCTACTTTCAATATGGGATGGTAAAAGTGTTTTCTTTGCCTTTCGAGTAATCTGCCTAGGAACAAGGATTCTGTATCTTAGCAAAATAACCCCCCAGGTCTCACAGCAAATTTGATCCTGCCCTTCATTTACTATGTTCCTGATTCCCTGAGTTTTCTCAATGTTAGAAGAGCCAAGGTTTTTTTAAGTCACATTACTTCCTAGATTTACTTTTATGATCTTTTATTTAACTGGATAACTAAATATTGTCTCACAGTGACTTATAATCCCATTTATGGGGATCATTAAATGTTCAAAGCTTTTGACATGTTTAACAGTTTTGCCTTCCCACATTAAATCCTAAATGAAGTCTTCACTTCAAACCGACTTTGAGGTTTCTTCAAGGGTCTCTTTAAGATCTCAAAGGATTTGTCCTAACCCTAACCCTAACCCTGACCTTGTAAAAGAGAGACATTAAACCAATTAGGTGTATGTGATGTGGCGACTTTCAGGAAAGGTGCCGCCAAATAAAAAGTGCTCCTTAACCCTCTCTAGGTTATATTTGTTTGGAAAGTCAATCGACGGATTTTAGAAACTGTGAACTAAAATAAAATTTTAAGGCTCACCCCCCCCACCGGCTGACTAAATGGACCCCCTCGTGGCCAAAGGAATACCCTAAAACTAAATTGCCTGCCAGGAGGAAGGAGGTCAGACATGTCTTATCATGCCCCTCTCCCTTCTTGGTGACATCCTTTGTACCCATTAACAGGACTAAGGGTATGCAAGACAAACCTGCAGGTCCTCAATTTACACAACAAATCTACGTCCAGTGGCTTATCTCTGATAAAGAGCTCCTTATGTTAAAACATTCCAAGCCTTTAGACAAAGCTTCATGTCTTTAACCAATTACAGGCCAAAGAATCTTTTAACCCACCTATAACCTGTAAGCCCCCTCTTGGAGATGGCCCACCTTTTTGGGCCAAACCAATGTATGCCTCCCACGTATTGATTTATGACTTCACCTGTAACCCCTGCCTCCCTGAAATGTATAAAACCAAACTGTAACCCCACCTCAGCGAGTCCACTGCTCAAGACCTCTTGGGCGTGGCTCCGGGTCATGGTCCTCAAATTTGGCTCAGAGTAAATCTCTTTAAAATTACTTTACAGAGTTTGGTCTTTTTGACGTTGACAAAACTGTATACGGTTCCTAGAAATTGGTCAATACCCTTGCAGTTCACGACAGCTCCTCCTCTAAGGTTATCAGTTACAATTCCAGTTATGTCTAAAAAACAACCAAAATTCCTTGTCAGTTGTATTATCATGTAATGATCTCTCATCAGATCTTTAATCACCCAATTTTAAGTCGTTTTTTTTTTTTTCTGAGACAGAGTCTCGCTCTGTCGCCCGGGCTAGAGTGCCGTGGCAGCAGCCTAGCTCACAGCAACCTCAAACTCCTGGGCTCAAGCGATCCTCCTGCCTCAGCCTCCTGAGTAGCTTGGACTACAGGTGTGTGCCACCATGCCTGCCTAATTTTTTCTATTTTCAGTAGAGACGGTGTCTCGCTCTTGCTCAGGCTGGTCTCAAACTCCTGAGCTCAAGCGATCCTCCCGTCTCGGCCTCCCAGAGTGCTGGGATGACAGGCTGAGCCACCGTGCCCGGCCCATTTTAAGTCTTTTGTCATCACAGATAGTTCTTTTACTCTGCTGCTTCCCACTTGCCACCAGCTACAGGCCAAAATGCTTCATCTTCAACAGAAAGGGAGTGTCTCGGAGACCCATGGGAAGGCCTATGTCAGGCACACTGGGGTACAGACTTCTGGTGGTACTGCACAGCATGAGACCACACCACGGGCTCGGCCAGGATGCCCAGAGTGCTAGTTCAGAAACTCACAGGTTCATGGAACCGCTGACCTATGATCAAGTTGAATAAGAGTTAAGTACATACCACTGAGTAAACTGAAAAAAGATGCTTATAAGTTTGTATGGCTTTTATTCAGAATATCATTAGCTCTTTAATGTTCTGTTTTCTGTACACAAAAATAAAACTCTTTCCCTTTTCTCTTAATCTAAAATTATAGTTTTGTAAACAAAATCCAAACATTTATCTTTTTCTTCCTGCCTGATCCCTCCAAAAATCAGAAACTATTATTGACTATTCTTATTTTCATGGCAATATAGTTATCTGCATAACTTCAATAAGAATCTGTTCTCCTTGTAACAGGACACAACTAGAACATTGGTTACATTACCAAGGCTTTGACTGGAATGTCTTATTTGGAAATGATGGAAATCTGACTGCCCAGACCCTTACTGGGATTCAGATATGCCCAGACAGCTTTAAGGCTGACCTTATGGAACCAATGCTTACAAAGCCTTCTTTTTTTTTAAATAATTTTAAATTTTACATTAATTTTTTCTTAGTCTTTATTATCTTTTTCCTATTATTAGTCCACTAAGACTCAATGCTCAACAAAGCCCTCTTGAAAAATCTAGCCTGGTGCCTGACTTACAGAGTTCCCAGTCTAGTATGTGAGTAAGGAAAGTCACTTCCTGGCAGGTCCAGGAACCTTAGAATATTTTGGAGACACCAAGAAGAAAATTCACCCAAATCTATAGGTATTGCAGGTGAAGTCTGACAGCAAGTTCTCCGTTTGGCTTCCCAGCCTCAAGAGGCTTTTAAAAGTCCAATCCTTTTTTTTTTTTGAGACAGAGTCTTACTTTGTTGCCCGGGCTAGAGTGCCGTGGAGTCAGCCTAGCTCACAGCAACCTCAAACTCCTGGGCTCAAGCGATCCTTCTGCCTCAGCCTCCCAGGTAGCTGGGACTACAGGCACGCGCCACCATGCCCGGCTAATTTTTTTCTATTTTTAGTTGTTTGGCCAATTTCTTTCTATTTTTAGTAGAAATGAGGTCTCACTCTTGCTCAGGCCGGTCTCAAACTCCTGGGCTCAAAGGATCCTCCCACCTCGGCCTCCCAGAGTGCTGGGATTACAGGTGTGAGCCACCGCGCCCGACCTAAAAGTCCAATCTGAGATCCCTTATTAAAAGTTCTAGTGGCCGGGCGCGGTGGCCTGTAATACTAGCACTCTGGGAGGCCCAGGTGGGAGGATCCTTTGAGCCCAGGAGTTTGAGACCAGCCTGAGCAAGAGAGAGACCCGTCTCTACTAAAAATAGAAAAAATTAGTCGGGTGTTGTGGCGTGCGCCTATAGTCCCAGCTTCTCA